CAGTGGGGACTCGCACCGAGTTCACAACCCTAAACCCTAAAGCCGGGCTTCAGGAGCTTCACATTGCGCCTCCGAGGTTTTTCACCCCACCAAACCCCCGGCACTCGGCAAACTGCCTTTCAATCCGGCCTTAACCCCAACGAAGAAACCCACCGGAAAACAACCAGACTGAAATCGCATCAACTTCCGATAGAAGCCTCACAAAATCCAGCACACGGCACTGTGTTGAAGTCAGCTGAATGGCTCCGGAGTGTTTCGAGTAGACCTGGTCGAAACACCGTCTGTTCTCCAAACCCTAAATGCCTTGGCTTGTGCACAACAACACACACACGCTCTCTCTGTCTCTCTCTCTCTCTCTCTCGCTCTCTCTCCGGGGCACAGGGGCAGGTCAGTGCCCCCGGGCGCCAGGCCCACCCAATGTTTTATTGGGTGCAGGAGTGTGAGAAAAGAATGTAGATTGCCAAAAGGTTAAAGCCGTAAAGTATGCGATAAAGGATGTTGACAATCGTACATTCGGCTTGGACACATGCAATGGAACATCAAATGCCAAGGAGTAGTGAAGACCCAGTAACATAAAGACATGGCAATGATGTTCCCCTGTCAAGCGGCTCTCTCTCTCTCGCTCTCTCTCTCTCTCTCTCTCCCTCTCTCTCTCTCTCTCTCTCTCTCTCTCTCTCTTAACCTTAAACCTTGAACGCTCTGCGGGTTTCAGGGTTCAGGCACCAAAAAGTTCTCAACCCGGTGATCCTCAATACCTCACCCGGACGAGCCCAAAGGTCTAAACTTGGTGCCGCGGGACGGCCGTGGGTTAGGGCTTACAGTGTTCAGAGTTGGAGTTTCGACCCACGCACTCGCACTCGGCTGGCCTGGCGTTGGAGGGTCTGAGACTGCTTCTGGAACATCACAGTTTAGGGTTTAAGGTTTAGGTCCAATAACTCAGATGAAGTGAGGTCATTCACGCAAACAGCCCAAATCTACTGAAGCTATCTTCGGGGTATTGATACTTGGAATAGGGTTTTGGGGTATGGGATAGGTTTCCATTTGCGATCCGATAAAGAGGCACGGGGGCATTACGAATTGGTGTTCAAACCTCTATATCGCGCCCATGCGCTGCTGGCAGCGGGACTTGGAGTGGCTGGCTTCCTGGATGGAAGTGTGTCCAGAGGAACTGAATTGCTGACCCTTTCGGAGAAAATCTATGCCGGAGCAGCCTTTCGACTCGACTGTCCATGTTCGCTTTAGGAAACGACAAGGCCCCACATAATGCAGCAAACCGATCCATGAGGCACTTCTGCAAACTAAGCTAGCCCATTGCCGAGCCCCGTTTGCATCCTGTGCCATGGGGAGCAGCGACGAAAGACCCCACACAGAAATGATATGAAATATCGTTGAGCCAAAACGCTAAACGCTCAATCCTAAACCCTTCGTCCTACGTACTAAACCCAGAAGCAACATAACCAAAACAGCAGGCCTGAAATGTCCTCGAGCTCCGCATCCCGGACGAAGTACACAGCCTGGTGAATCTTCAAACTGGGCCTTCGGGTTTACGCTTTAGGTTTTTTCCCTCTCGCATTGCTGAGAACTATGCTCACGGCGAGGTCTGCTTAGGAAAGAAAAGTTGCGAACGATGTGACGGATTCGGTTTCTGCCGTGTGCCTTCGTTGTGCAAGCCAAAGCATTTTTTATTCTATCAAAGATTCACAAAACAAAAAACCATAATAAGAAAGCAAAACTTACAATAATTTTAAGCTTTAGGTTTAGGGTTGGGGCTTCCTCAAACGATACCGACAATATGTTCCGGTAAGCTTCTGAAACGTTTCATGCCCAAGCCTTGTAGGGAAAGGTGGGGGAGATAGCTGGCAGCTGACTCACCCTAAACCCGTAAAATCTTAAATCATCACACAGCCTGATGGGCCTACCTAACATAAACCCCGTAAATCAGAGGGGCAAAGATGCTTTGCACTGTCCCTGGGTCCGGCACGGCTCCGGCTGCCAGATGCAAGATTGGCTCGAGCGCATCGACCTGACGTAGGGAGAAGAACACGGTCACTTATTTTTTTGCATCTTTGGGATATCGTTGAATAAACCCCTTTTGCATTGAGGTCTCTCTGAAGTTCCTTCAGCAGTGTGATTCCATCAATCTCTCTAGCATTTCAAGAGAAGCTTAATAAACCCTAAATCCTAACCTAAACAGTTTAGGGTGTACGCCGACTACTCGGGGTTATCAAGCCTGGAAGTTCCTATAATACCTAAACTTAGGTCCTCTGTCCCCGACCTTACACCGCCGGTTACCTCCAGGTATATACATACACATATAGATATGTATATATATATATATAGTTGTGTGTACATATGTATGTATAAGAATATCTATCAGGGAGATAGAGAGAGCGAGAGAGAAATATGGACATGTACATACATTACATACATTACATACGCTACCTACCGGGCTACCTACCTACCTAACCTACCACCTACCTACCTACCTACCTACCTACCTACCTACCTACCTACCTACCTACCTACCTACCCACCGACCTGCCTGCCTGCCTGCCTG